GTAGAGTATTTACCAAAATAAATAATATAATGGGAAATACAGCAGTATCAATATAAAATGATTGAACTCTTGCAGGGAATACTTTCTGACCATAGCGAATTTAAACTAGAACTAAATAATAGATTACTAAAAAATCTCTAAAGGCTTGCAAATGAAACAAGAAATTAATGCTCATTTTGAACTAAATAACACTTAAAATACAGCATATCTAAACTTCTGAGATGCCAAAAAAGCAGAGCTGAGAGGTACATTTGTAGCTTTAATTGTACAAATTAAAATAAAATTAGTTTGATTATAAATTATCTAACTCCAAAAAAATATAGTTGCAGATTAAATTAAAAGACTAGAAAGTAGGAATAATAAGAAATAATATTGACTGCCAATAAAATACAAAACTTACACATAAGAAGAAAATCAAAGGCAAAAGTCAATCGCTTGAAAAGTTAAGTGAAAATGATAAGCCCCTAGCAAAACTGATATCCTACCACAAAAAAAGGAAAGCAAATTATCAAAGCATTTATTGAAAAAAGAGACACCAGGAGATGGCCTGGTGGCGCAGTGGTTAAGTTCACACATCCGCTACTTGGCGGCCCAGGATTCGCCAGTTCAAATCCCTGGTGCGGACATGGCACCGCTTGGCACTCCATGCTGTGGTAGGTGTCTCACATATAAAGTAGAGGAAGAAGGGCATGGATGTTAGCTCAGGGCCAGGCTTCCTCAGCAAAAAAGAGGAGGACTGGCAGTAGTTAGGGCTAATCTTCCTCAAAAAAAAAAAAAAAGGAAGAAAAAGAAAAAAGAGACACCATCACTGCAGATCCTACACACATTGTAAATATGACAAGGCATATTCTCAACTAACTTATGGCAATAAATTTGGATAAAATTAATAAATTTCATGAATAATAAAATGTATCAAATGAATAGAAAAGAAAATCTAAACAGCCGTTGATCTACTGGTATAATTGAGTTGGTAAATAAGACTCCTTAAAAACAACCAACCAGAAACTCTATGATCAGATGGCCTCCCTGAGGATGTCTTCAAAAGTTTTAGTGCTGATGTTAAACAAATTCTTTTAGAAAATATAAAAGGAGGGGCTATTTCTCAACTTGTTGTATGGAATGAGATTTATGCTAACCATATGTTAGCAAAGGGGATTCTGCAATGTATCAAAATGGTAACACGACATGAGCAAATAGGAATTCCCCCAGGAATGCAAGGGGATTTTACATTTGGTAATCAATCATCATCTACCATATTAAAAAAAGGAATAGCTGCTGAAATACATTTGGTAAAATTAGAACCCATTCACAACAAAAGAAAAAGATAAAACTCTTGGGAAACTAGACGTAAAAGGGAACACCTTTACGAAATTCTTGCCCACTCTAGGGTCGTGAAGCTATTGTTTTATATTTTCTCATACAAGCTTGTTTTTACCTTTTGGTGATAGATCTATAATCCACATTAAAATAATGTGTTTGATGTGAGTTGGGGGCCAGTATTTTTTAGGTCACATTAGGTAGGCAATTGCTTCATGACACTCATTTAACAGGTTATTTTTCTTTCACAGAATTACTGTGGTGCCTTTGTTGTATAAATCAAGTCATCACATTTCTAGAGCTTTCTGGGCTCTTTTATGATCATTGGTCTGCTTGTTTGTCCTTTCACCAACACCACATTGTCTTAATCATAGCTTTATACTAAATCATCAAAAATGTTAGTGTAAACCCTACTACTACTTCTTCAGACTGATTTCGATATTCAGTTAGCAGACATGTGATATCTGGTTGTATCTGCTCCTGTCTGAAATGTCCATGGAGACATTTGGTCCATGCCAAAAGGTCCAAGGTCCTGTCCAAAAGCATTTGACACAGACCAAGTATACTCACCAATATTTTGGACAGGACCAAATGGCAAGGACCTTTTGGCCTGGACAACATGTCTGATGGACAAAATGTCTTATGGACCTTTTGGACAGGACCAAATATCAGGGACCTTTGGGTGTAGACCAAATGTCTTGTGGACATTTTCAACAGGATCAAATGTCCTGCAAGGAGGCATTCGAAGTTCTCTGCATTTCTGTTTTAAAGTCAGCTTGTCAACTTCAACAAAATCTGGTTGGATTTTGATTGTTTTTTTTTTTGAGGAAGATTAGCCCTGAGCTAACATCTGCCACCAATCCTCCTCATTTTGCTGAGGAAGACTGGCCCTGAACTAACATCTGTGCCCATATTCTTCTACCCTACATGTGAGACACGTACCACAGCATGGCTTGCCAAGTGATGCCATGTCTGCACCCGGGCCCCCAATTGGCAAACCCTGGGCCGCCGAAGCGGAATGTGTGCACTTAACCGCTGCGCCACTGGGCCGTCCCAGATTTTGATTGGTTTTGAGTTGAACTTTTAGGTCAATTTGGGGGAGATTGACATCTTAACAATACTGAGTCCTCCTATCCATGAAATGGATAAACATGTCTCGTAATAGTCATACAATGTAAGCAGTGAAAAGAACCACTACTGTTACATTCAACATTGATGAACCTCAGAAACTATATGTCGAGCAAAAGAAGCCAAAAATAAAACAGTATTTACTTCATGATGCCATCTTTATGAAGCTAAAGTGTAGGTAGAGGTAAACCAGATTGTTAAAAGTCAGAACAGAAGTTGCGTTTTGTGGAGAGGTAATGCCTGTAAACCTGCTCACGAGAACTTCCTGAGTTATGGAAATATTCTGTATCTCACATCACGTGGTGGCTATGCAGGTATGTGTCACAAACACCCACTTTGCAAATATGTGTGTATATATGTATATGCACATATAATGTGTATAAATAAATTATGTATATGAATGTATATATTTGTAAATATTCTGTATTTACATATATGTATATAAAACTGCAACAAGTCACTTAAGATTTATGCACTCCACATTAAATTATTTAAAAGGCATGAAACCGTCACATGAAACAAAATGCTATTAATAACTTCAAATGGGCAATAATCAAAATAGATAAAAATGTTTTAATTTCAATTATTAAAAATAAAAATTATCAGATTGCTTGCTCTTTGTTAGTTTCAAGCTCATATATAATACCACATAAATTTTAACCCTAAAGAGTAAGAAAAAGAACAGAATATGTCTCCAAAGGAAAATTGATGCGTGACTATTAACATAAAGCAGCAAAATAGATTTTTGAATTTGAACTGATTCATTATTTAGGATGAAACAAAATTTTCCTAGCTTTACATAATAAACCTGAACTCATATGTACCTAACCAAATACCTATAAAATACACAAAGCAAACACTAAAATCTACTGGCAGGAATAATCATACTTGGATAATTAATTTATTAGACCAAAAACTTAGAAAACGTGAGCAGTATTAAACAAACTTTATCTAAATGGCATATGTAGAATCTTGATTCTTAAAATTAGAGACTGGAAGTTTTTACAAAGCATGCATGGCAGGCACATTTTTAGAAAGTAATCCTGTGTTGCACAACAAAGGAAGTCTCAATCAATACTTACTACTTGGCTGCAAATTTCTCAGTCTAGTGATTGGCAAATAAGAAAGCTTTAAAAATGTCAGTTGCTGTTATTATTATTTGGCAGCTGTTGTCCCAAGCAGGTATTATTAGCCAAGTAAACTTGTCTGCTTAGTTGTAATTTTTTTCCCTATATATATATATATAAAAATCCAGTGCTGAATTTTAATTATTTCATTACTTTATTTTCGAAACAGAAGTAGTTGTAGCAACATCCTGTAGGAAATTCTTATACTCCAGTCCATACCTTTTTCAAGTTTTTCATACTTTACATACATTATGGACTAAATTGTGTCCCCCTAAAATTCATGTATTGAATCCCTAAGCCCCAATGTGACTATATTTGGAGACTAAGCCTTTAAGGAGGTAATCAACATTGAAGGAGTTTGCAAGAGTGGGCTCCTAATCAGATAGGACTGATGTTCTTATAAAAAGAGGAAGAGAACCAGAGATGTGTTATCTCTGTGCACGCACAGAGGAAAGCCCGTGTGAGGACACAGAGAGAAGGGAGCCTTCCACAAGCCAGGAAGAGGGTCCTGCTGACACCTTGATCTTGGACCTCTAATTTCCAGAACTGTGAGAAAATAATTTTTTGTTATTTAAGCCAATACAGTTTGTGGTATTTTGCAATGGCAGCCCGGTCCGGCTAATAAAAGTCCAATGTGAGATTGTCACAAGAAGAATGTAAAGAAATGTCATCTTGGGCCGGCCTCCTGGCCAAGTGGTTAAGTTTACCTGCTCTGCTTTGGTAGCCCAGGGTTTTGCGGGTTTGGATCCTGGGCGCGGACATGGCACCGCTCATCAGGCTACCCTGAGGCAGCGTCCCACCTGCCACAACTAGAAGGACCCACAACTAGAATATACAACTATGTACTGGGGGCTTTGAGGAGAAGAAGAAGAAAAATGATAAAGGCATTTTAGTTTTGAAAATACATTTTAAACAACTGTGGAAAGTCAGCATTTTTATCATCAGTCATTATTACTATAATGTAAATTAATTCAATGGGTTAATTTATGATTTTTTAAAAATGTATAAAACATTCATATGAAATATCATCTCCAAATAATTAAATTACAAGTGAACACAACCTGTTAATGATTTGACACTGTATATGTACATGTGTGTGTCTTTAAAGATTTTATTTTATGAGTCCAAATATAATTATAACTATTGTTATATATAACTAACAATTTACTGGGGCAATTTTTTTCTTGGCCTGATGCCACCAAATGAACCATACATTTATGTTTTGGTAAAATTTCAGATTTCACTTTTCTTGTTTTTCTTATATTCTAATGGTACTTGTAACGTATTAGGCTGATATGGATGGCACTTCTGTGGTTAACGTGTTAGATGCCTCTATTCCATTTTATCATGTGACTATTTTTTATAACTATGTTATTCTCCAGGTAAATGAATTCTCTTCTAAAATGTACTATTATGGTTTTTTTCTAGCACCCCAGAGCCATAAGTTTGGAATCACTTGCAGTTATTATAGCTCAGCTACTGAGCCTCAGTATGGGGATAGCCTATGATGATATTAACAAATGCCAGTGCTCAGGAACTGTTTGCATAATGAACCCAGAAGCAATGTAAGATGCTTTACTTTTATATGCTTTACATATATAGTTTATATGAAAAATAACTGGTGTATTTAGTTTAAGAAAGTCTAGGCTGTTAAAATAATTACTAAGGGTCAAATATAAGCTGTGACCAATGACCTCTAGATGAAAATACATGTTCCAATGCCCATGCTGCATATTGATCTCAATATCTCTTGTAATCTATTGTCACACTTGCCTCCTCATATGTGATCTAACTCTGCATTTATCATTATGCTTACTTGCATGACTTTATTATTTAATGAATGATTTGATAAACCAAATACAGGCTTGTGATCACTATTTAAGAATAATTTATTGGTATGGCCTTGTCTGCATGCTTTCCTTCGTTCTGCCTTGGCCTGAAGTCTTGGCATCTATTGACTTCAAAGATGGTGTTATTTAGCCTTTTCTTTGTCACTAGAGAAGGGCTTTTGCACTATCCTTATTATGCCTCAAAGATCTAGTGACTTTGTTTGCTATTATTATCATTATTCTTAAAATAGACCATGAGATTTTATAGAATTAGGGCCAAATAGTCAGGGGATTAAGGGAAACCATCATCCAGTCAGTGACTGGAGCCAGCCTCTTATCTTTCTGATGGGCAATATTTGAAGACGTTTTCTGCTTCTCAGATTTCTTAGAAAATCAAGCCCCATTGTCTACAGCGGCAAACTTGATAACATTTCACTCTCTCCATTCCTTCACTCCTGCTTCTACAATCATTTCCTAAAAATACTTGCACTCAATTTTTATCTCAGGCTCTGATTTGAGAGGAACCCATATAAAAATAGTTATCCCAGAAGTGGTTGTAGAAAACAAACTTTTATGAAATGATTGTGAAACTGGATCAATAGATGATCTGACGGCAACGAGGATTACTTTGACTGGAGATGATGTTCAGAGAGGGTACTGGAACAGGTCCAGGCTGTGATGCAAGGTGCTTTATTCTATGGTATTTATGACCATTAAGATACAATAAAACTAAAGATATTCCTGGTAGATCCTGGTAGAATCACTGAGAAGTATCAATAGGAAATTTGTGGTGCAGACCCCTAGCGTTCTCTTACAGCTCCTGGTGGGTGACTGGAACCTTGTAGAGTTGAACATGCATCCAGGAAATAGTAAGTAAGTGACTATGTTACCTAAGTTAAATATTTTCATCTTAATTTGGGTATTTTCAGGTCTACAAAATTGTAAGATCAAGTGAGCATATTAATCTATCTGATGACTAAATGGTGTATCTGGGAGGAAGCTCAAGATGGTCCAGAGAGCATAAGTAAATAACATGAACAGAGCTCCCAGATCCCTATGTCACCTACATCTGTTACATATCTCTCAATATTTTTCAATCACTTCACACCAACAGCCCAATGGGAGTTCCCTAAAACTGGCTGCTAGAGGAAGAAAAACCTGTTTTGTTTAAAGAAAAGTTTCTCTCAATATGTTAACTGGAATATAAAAAAATTTACTGTTCCATAATATTCTCCAATTAGATTTTAAGACCTTAAGACAACTGGGAAATGGTAAATGTCCCAGTGAGCATATTTACAAACAATACACTTAGTTTTCCATCTTGTTTGAGAGAAGTACCAGAGATTGGGATCAACATAGCCTGAACAGTGGCAAATGACTTGGGTATTTGATCAAGGATCTAGGTGCTGTAAGATTGGACATTTAGGGACAAGGAATTGTGAGAAAGAGGATGTGAGTTGATTTAGAGTAGGCACAAAGTACGTGGATCTTTATATATTAAGTTCAAGTCTCACCAGTGAGTATTTACTTCACAAGAAGCATTCAGTGACCTGGTCAACATATTGAAATCCATGAATGTCAACCAGCTTCTTCCCTAAGCTATCCATTAGTCATCCCCTTCACAGGAGCAACCTTCAACCACTTTATTGGAATACCAGCTTCCTGGCTGTCTAAGGACAGTTCCATTAAATAGTCTGTACACTTCTTTGCGGTCTCAGCAGACTGGAACCACTATTACCTTCTGAATAAAACATACTTATATTGACTTTTCCTCATTCTCTCTTTCTCCATCACTGTTCCCTTAACCCTGCTTCCGTGGGTTACATCCCAAATGAATTTCCCGTAAACAAGTTTATGCTTTGCTTTTTGTTTGTTTTTCTAGTTAATCTAAATAAAGACGGTTAACATTTTATATAGTTCATATTAATAATGTTGAGCACTGCTTATTAAATTTTTATTTACCTTTGATTACATTACAATGTTTTTTTGCAAGTTTAAAACAATTTTTACAAGTTTTTTACAATGATGATATTACATTGCTTATGATTCTGATTGTAATGATGATAATGGTTATAATGGTAAAGAAAAGATAGGAAGGATGAAAAGATCTTAACTGTTAATAGCTCTTTGGACCCTCTACCTCCTAAATATTGTCAAGGTATTCTCTGTTCAATTTTGAAATAGGTTATTTTGTTGGGATTCCTGAATTATTCTCATCATGGTCTGGTTAGAATCTTTCAAAATGCAATATTTCCTCAATCTTTTTCTTTGGAGAAATTATTAAGTGTAAATAGATTTGTCTTGGTTGTTTTTTCTAATTATATCTGTTTATATGACTGTGAAATTTCCAATTGTTTGTGGCAAGCATGTAGAAATTTTATTGATTATTTTGTATTGAATTTATATCCTACAGCTTTGCTAAGTTAATTCTGGCACTTTTACTTTAGCTTTATTAGAATTTTACACGTGTACAATCATATATTATACACACAGTTTTACATTTTCCTTTTAAGTCTTTATATATTTTTTAAATTTCTATCTTTTTGTCTTATTGCAGTGGTTAGGACTTCCAACACAATGTAAAATGAAAGTGGAATATGTGGCTTTTTTGCTGTGCTTCTGATTTAATGGCAAAATCTTTCCTCCTTCACTGTTAAGTCTGTTAGGTGGAAATTTTTCATACAGGCTTTGAATCAGATTGAGGAAGTTCTTCTTTATTCCTTGTCTGCCAAAGTTTTCATCATAGATATATTTCATCACACATTGAGATGATCATGTAATTTTTTTCTGCTTTATTCTGTCGGTATGTTGAAATACATTTTATTGATTTTCTGTTGTTTAAATAACCTTATTTTCTTGGAATGAACCACATTTGGCATGATGCATTATCCTTTTAATGTATTTATCCTGTTTGTCGCTGGATTTTTTTTTCTAACATTTGCTTCCTTATTTATGAGGGACATTGGTGTTTAGTTGTTTTATCTTTTAATTCCTTTGACTGATTTCATTGTCAGGGTAATTTGGGCCTCATGAAATTTTCTAAAAGTGATTTAGGAAAATTGATATTAATTCTTCCTAAATTATTTGATAAAATTCACCAGCAAAGCCATCTGGACTTAGACTTCTCTTTCAAGGAAGGAGTTTAGTAATTAATTTTTAAGATATGAGGCTACTTAGATTTTTATTATTTTTGTTTTTCTAATATTTTCATTGAAATTGCTTAATTTGTCATAAGGTTTTTTGTATTCTTCATTTATTTTTCTTTAAAAGTCACTAGAATTTATGGTGATATGATCTTTTTTTATCTCTGATACAGATAATTTGTGTTTCTCTTTTTCTTTCTTAATCACTCTAACTTGGATTTCATCAAACTATTTGATTTTTTCAAAGACTATATTTTCATTTTATTGACTCCTGCCCATCACTTGTCTACCTTATTTTTTCTTTATTTATGTATAGCTTAGGGTAAATTTGTTCTTGTTATTCTCCGTAGATTTTTTATGTGAAAGCTCAAATAATTGATTTTAAACCTTCTTTCTTTTTGTTTAAGAATTTTGAAGCTATACATTTACTTGTAACCAACATTTCAATTACTTACCACAAAATTTGATATTTTATATTTCTTTTTCATTTAGTTGAAATATTTTCAAACTTTGTGTTTCCTTCTTTGTCTAGTGGATTATTTTAGAAACATGTCAGTTATTTTTGAACATTTGTGGATACTCTAAATGTCGTTTTGTTATTGATTTCTGATTTAATTTTGGTTGTCATCCAAAAATATATATTTAGATGTACATCTTTTGAAGTTTATTGAGACATTTAACAAAAGTGTTTATTTTTATCTCTTTTCCATTTTTCCTTGATTCCCTTTATGCTGTAGAAGTTAAAAGTATGTATTGAGTGTTATTTTTCTGTTTTTGGTTAGTAATTGAGATCCCTCTGATAATTTCTTCAAAGTTATATTTGAAGACAGGTTTTATTCATTTCATTTCTGAGTGTTATTTCTTCTAAAAAATGCAAAATATTGGACACATGTTTACTTTATGGATTGAGGAAAAGATGCTCCATTCTATTATTCTCTATCTCATTGTGATGAGAACATTCCATCCTGTTGTCAATGTTTTGCAATTTTTTGGTGGGGAAATGAACGTCTGATTAAAACAGTAATGTCCTGATTGAGATCAATTATCTGACTGATTAGGCCAATTATCTGACCTTTCTACATGTCCACTCCTAACTTTACAAAAGGCTAAGAAATGTAGGCATCATACAATGAAGCCATGTATTAACTGAACATAAGAGGCTCTATTATCATAAGGAAGATGATGGGAGAATATGGAAGAATAGAGAATGGAAACATCCATCAAATCTGTGCAGAGATTCAAAATGCAAATAAATTCTCCAACTGGACATAATTATGGTTGATGTTTTCTTTCTAATGACAACATTAGTTTTTTTTTTTACCAGAAAGCCTTTTTTACCCTGTAAGCAAGTTAACACGTAGTAAACATATCTTGCATTGCCTGGTTCTTGGTAATATTAAAGTTCTATTGCTTTTTCTCCTTTTGGTTTCTGGTATTTAGGTAGAAATCATCTGAATTATTGGCAAAGTAGTAATAAATCCATTATTTGTGGTTACTATAACAAATGAGTATGTTCAAGGAGGATGTGACCATGAAAAGAAAAATACCAAAATTGGTAGTTTGTTCAAAAATCTCTAATTTGTTCGAGGTCCTCATGTGAATAACACTTTCCTGTAGTAATCTAAATGACTAGGTTTTGAGTCTATTGCCTTAAAATTCACTAAGTCCATGTTATGTATATCTAATTACTAATTATATACATTCACGATTATATTTTTTACATGTTAATACTATTCAGAATAGTAGAAATTATAATGAAACAGCAACTAAAGAATCTACTATTTAAAACACATGGTTTCAACCATACACTCATTCATTTTTTAAAAATAATCATTATGCTCTTAACTTTGTGTTAGTGAACAAAACAATTGGAATGTTTTTTCTCCTGGAGCTAAAAATTAGTAGGACAAGATAATCAATAAATAATTAAATAAATAATATTCCAGTTGTGGATAAATATTTTGAAGAAAAATAGGTGTCACATAGGGAATAAAGAGAGGTAAAAGGGTGGCATCTTAGATTTGTGCTTAGAAATGTTATCTCTTTGTAAACACTGAGTAAAGAATTGGATATTGGACTCTAGAATTTAGATAAGTTTATATTAGAGAAATAAATATTTGAGTTGTCAAGTACAGGCGTTATTTAAAATATAGAACTGGATGAGATTGCCTATGAATAAATATAAAGAAGGGAAAAGCCCAATCTCTTTTGTTAATACAACGGTATTATAATATTTAGAAGTCATGAAAGGAAAAGGAAGCCACAAATGAAATAGAGATGGAGCACTTTGTGAGGTCAGATCTTCAAGAGAAAGCAGTGTCACTAATAAGTGTAATATAAAAACCAATAAAATTTATTGATTAGTTATTTCTACTAAAAATATTTAGCATAAATTCTTGCTCAATTGACTTCCCATGCACACAAAATAAAAGTTTGACGCTAACAAAATTGAGCATTTTGTATGTTGTGGAATGCTATTAAATAACTTTATTCTGAGGCTAGGTAGTTTATGGAAGCAATGCTTACAAAAAAATTGAAGTTTGATGCATTTTTAGTCATTTCAGTGGTGTGAAGAACTTTAGCAACTGCAGCATGGAAGATTTTGCACGTTTTATTTCAAAGCCAAAGTCCCAATGTCTTCAAAATCAGCCACGTTTAGATCCATCATACAAAGATGCAGAGTGTGGTAATCAACAAGTGGAACAAGGAGAACAATGTGACTGTGGGAGTGAAGAGGTTGGTACTAATTTGGAAGAATATATGCCAGAATGACATAAAAATTATTAATTTTTGTAGTGTTACATTGCCATTTTCCCTAATTTGTCAAACTCACTTTTCTACAAAGAAGGCACTGGGGATTATAATAAACTAATGAGTGCACTTATATATTGGCATATGGACTCAGTGGTTTATAGATTATCTATATGGTGATTCTCAAGGTCATTAATCCCATAGCTGAGTTGACCTAGGTTTACACTTACCCTGAGTATATTCTTCCCTAGGATTTCTTCTTAACCTAAGATCCTCTGCCATTCAGAAAGACAGAAATAAAGCTTTTACAATTGAACAAGAAAACATAGGAGACACATTTGTGGCTTTGAATATTTTAAACCATGTCAATCTTTAAGTCAAAAAAATTTGAGCTATACATAAGCAATAAAAGCCAGTTTTTCTAACCCACAGAAATCTTAGTCAGATAAAGCTGCTAGATTGGAGGGAGGTGAAAGGGTAGAGATAAAGGGAATAAAATGAAGAAGACAGAGACTGTGAGACTAAGAGTGAGTGTTATGGACCTGACAGAATCAAGAAGACATGAATGGAGTTCAGTGTTCCCTACTGCAACAGTCAAGGTCATTCACGTGTACCCTCTCCAACATGAAAAGTGTGTTTTCAGATACTTAGTTGGGTGATGTGCTTTTTCAGGAATTATTCCCCAGTACCTACTTGTTTTTGCTTGTTTGGATCCAAACGAAAACACCTTGAAAGTTTCTAATAAAAATTGAGAGTAGTGTGTCTTAGCTCTGTTAAATGTCATCTAATTGAGTCCCATGCCCCTGTGATATAACTTCACCTCTGGAATCCCCCATAGTTAGCAATAGCAGTGACATTGATTTGGCAGAATAGTCCTGTAAAATAATGCAAATTTACTGTGCCCTAGTATCATGCTATAACTCATTCAGACTACTGAAATCCATGATTTACTTTTGTGTAACTCACTGAAATTTTTTTGCCCAACTAACCATATTTCAAATCCCTGGAAATTTAAAAATGTGAATGTGTGTGTGTGTGAATACACTGTCTCTCTAGCCCTCTCCTTACTTATTTGTTGCTTTTATTAAGCTTAATAATAGAATTTTTAAAAGCAGAATCACTGGGCATAGATAGATGAATTATAGCATTGAACTATACATAATAAGATACAGAGGAATGTTATAAAGGTGATCATTTCCGTCACGTTCAGAAATACTATTTTCTAGCTCTTCATCTTTGAAGAATTAGAAGTAAACCAAACTTTGAATATCCCATAAAAGTTACAGACATTAAAATTGAATAGATTCATAAAGGTTGATTAAGAACTAGTCACTATAATGAAATTGTTAAAATCATAACTTCTGTTTATTTCATATCTTGTATTTAGCTATCTCTTTGTCTACAAGAGCCAGAGATCTTCTTGGTATCTTGGCTTTGGCGCACTCCAGGGCTTTGGAAAATCCTACTACCAATAGAGTCAAACCTACTCTAGGGACATAGCAAATACACAGTCTCACACATAGTAGGTAACCAATCAGTGTGTGTTAAATGAGTGAATAAGTGGCTTTTTTCTCTGTTTGCACACATGTAAGTTAAGCATCTATTTGTATATTATATAATATGTTTACATCATTAAAATACCTATCCAATGTAAATAAAAGATACTTTAGAGCATTTGATTTTCTTTTCAGGAATGTGCTAGTGATGCATGCTGCGAAGCTGGTACATGTAGACTATCAGCTGATTCAGAGTGTGCTGAAGGAGAATGCTGTGATGCATGTAAGGTAAGGGCCTCTTCAAAATTTCCATATTACCTATGTAAGCAAAGTTATCATTCTTTATAATATTTATATGTTCACATTCTGCTTTATTCAGTATCATTTGCTTGCTCCCATCAGTTTAAGGCGAAAGGAGAAGAGTGTAGGGCTACCTTTGATGAATGTGATCTCCCTGAATATTGCAATGGATCATCTGCATCATGTCAAGATAACTTTTATGTTCAGGATGGGCGCTCATGTTCAGAGAATCAATGGTTTTGTCTGGAAGGAAAATGTAGGAGTGGGTTAAAACAATGTGAGGATACATTTGGTGAAGGTATTTATTATAATTTGATTTTCCATATATGTGTTTTTCTGGAAACTGAAAAGAAATAGATGTTGATATATAATTGTGATTTTTTAAATAAATGTGACTTCTAGTTTAAATATTTTAAAGGATTATAGAAAGAGAAGAGGAATACTATAAGGAACAAAATCATGCAAGTTGTCTGGGTTTAAAATTCAGAATTATTTCCACAAAATAATAAAGAGAAACATTCAAAGTCTATGGGATCTGCATTCAGGACAGAAAAAGGAAGACTGAAAACCATCTACCCTCCCTCCCTCACCCCATCTCTATGGTTTTCTTAGTAATTATAGAATAAATACTTATGGCTATGGACATTAAAAGGGTCATAAATATAAGATGGCATATGAATACAATTTAAACCAAACATACAGACACCCACAGACAAATGCACATGTTCATACTGGGGAACTTCAAGGATGACTCATGAAAAACCCAAAGAGAAGTCAGGGAAATCCAGGACCTATGAAATCATTTAAAAATGGTATGAACTAAGGTTGAAAACAAAAAGGAAAGCCATGGTACAAAATATACATAGAATCATTTGCTGAAGAAAATGGAAACAGCAGCAATGGCAACAGTATTTCATGTCCATATCAGAAGAATCAAGAGCAATTGACAGAGGAAATATTTAGAATATTCATAGAAATAGCCAGGTGGGTCAATTCTATCTCAAGTGGAATAGGTAGCAATGCCAACTCTAATGTCTGTGTAAAAGGGAGTTGTAAAGTGATTATCAACTCCCAAAATGAACATTCAATCAGAATGACTATTGGTTTGAAGAAAGGCCACATAAAGACACAAGGAAAGAAACTTATAAAATGGGAAAGTGCTCTCCCGAGGAAATGGGTGATTTGGAACCACAGTGAGGAAATTTTGAAGAGAGAAAGACATATATATATAGAGAGAGAAGAGATAGAGATAGACATAGAGATGAAATAGAGATAGACATAGAAATGAGATAGAAAGACAGAGAAAGTAAGAGAAAGGAAAATAAGATTTTGAGTTGAAAGGTATACTGTTAAAGTTTTTTTAGAAAGTACATTGGTTAAATCACTGAAAAGGTAGAACTTCTGTTTAAGCTGACAGGTGGAATTGAGAAATTCACCCCAATACTAAAATGATAGATGCAAAAATGGGAAGTATTTGCATTTACTTTCCAAATTCATCTCTGTAAGTATTGTCAAAAAAAGGGGAGACTAAACCAGGAGAGGGAATAATTAAGCAAAAAGACAGGATAATCATAGAAATTAGTAAAAGCCATTGTTGACTAATATACATACATAGAGAAATGAAAAATTGGTATAAATCAAATATTCGTTTTATAATCTAACTACAAGAAGAATGATAAAATAATGTGAAACTAAAAGCTAATAAAGGGGAAAAAATAAAGGCAATGAAAATATTTGATTAACACAAAAGAAGGCAATAGCAGTGAAAAAAAAGAACATAGAATAGGAAAACAAATACTAAGGCAGATTATTTATATTTAAATATTTAGCAATTACATTAAAACCTGTATTAAATATTAAAGTTATGGAAAGGATGTAGTAGGTAGTGACAGATGCAATCACAAGAAAATGACTAGAAAAATCAAGAAACATTGTGTTGATGATATTTTTAAAGCCATTAGAATACAGTGAAACCAAAGAAAACTAATGGTCTAAATTTGCACAGGAGGGAAACTTTGCATATATTAGGGGACTACTGTCAGCCATTTATGTTCCTAGGGACATTGCAGATTCTGAAAGTTGAAGATCAGGCTTGGCTTGGGCAGAAATCTTCTACTAGAAAAAATGATTAAAACGTTTTAGCAGTTGGAATTTAAGGGGTTGGAGGGGGCGTTGTCAAGACCGCAGACCATTGTTTTTCCATGAGGCATTCTTGGAGCTTGAAAGCTGCTCAGGAACTTGGTCAATTAGGTCAAAAACATTAAAAAGACATTACAGGGGCCGGCCAGTGGTGAAGTGGTTAAATTCACATGCTCCCCTTAGGTGGCCAGGGTTTGTCAGTTCTCGTATCCCGGGTGCGGACCTATGGACCACATATCAAGCTACGCTGTGGCAGGCGTCCCACATATAAAGAAGAGGAATATGGGCACAGATGTTAGCTCAGGGCCAATCTTCCTCAGCAAAAAGAGGAGAATTGGTAGCGGATCTTAGCTCAGGGCTAATCTTCCTCAAAAAAAAAAAAAAAAAAAAAAAAGACATTACAAACTTCCCTGTAGTCACAAGATGGTCAAAGACCCAATGGTGAAGGAATCTTGCATCCAGAAAATCTTAGTCTTTTCCTAAAAGCTTTTGTTACATTTTGAAGTACTTGTATTAGTGTAGGCTGGGAAATTGTCCTGAGATTCTCTAAAGGTTACATATTTATCCCTGGCAGACTTTCAGTGAAGAGAAGATAAATGCTTGCAAAGCTCTCAATCAGTAGCTTGCAAGGTCCATACCCAAAATAAAGAGGTAGATCCAGAATCAAACTACACATCAGCCCTTAGCCATTTAATTGCTTGATTGGATTTAAGTGATTACTACCTCACCCAATCTGCCCAACTCAGGAGAGGGAGTCATTAAAAAGATAAGATAGAGAATGGAAAGAAGCAATAAGATAAGGACCAATAATTTTCCAAATGGAATAGGTCAACTCCCAAATTCAAGATAGTCTAAGAATCTTAAGAAGGATGTCTTTAAAGAAAAAAAAAAACACATAAAGACATCATAGCAAAACTGCTAGAAAATAAACAGAGGAGAACAAAAACATCTGGGGCATTTGGAGGAGACACAATGCCTTTAAGGGAGCAAAAAAGAAACAGACTTCTCATTTCTCAACAATTATGAAGCCAGAAGACAAAATAAAGCCACCTCTCATGGGCTAAAAGAAAGGAATTGCCCACCTAGGATTTTGTAACAAGCAAAAATACCCTTCATGTCTTTTCAACAAATGTACTTGAACAACTGTATAGTCACAGGCGGAAGAATGAATTTGAACTCCTACCTCATACCAAACACAAGAATTAACTTGAAATGTATCATAGGCCTAAATGTAACAGCAAAAACCATAAAACTTTTAGAGGAAAACATTTGCATAAATCTTAGTGACCTTGGATTAGGCACTGCTTTCTTAGATATGACACCCAAAGCACAAGAGCCAAAAGAAAAAGCCATGAATTGGACCTCACCAACATTTTAAAAAGCTTTTGTTCTTCTAAAGATATCATCAAGAAAGTGAAAAGAAACTCAAGGAATGGGAAAACGTATTTGCAAATCATATTTCTGATAATAGAATCGTATACAATATATGTAAAGAACTTTCTCGACTTAATAAAAAGACAAATAGCCCAAATTAAAAAATAGGCAAAAAATTTGAATAGACATTTTTCAAAAAAAGACAGAAATGGCCAGTCACAGGAAAGATGCTCAGAATCATTTGTCGTTAAGGAAATGCAAATCAAAACCACAACAAGATACTTGTTCACATTCATTGGGATGGCTATAATTTAAAAAAGACAATAGCAAGTGTTAGGATGTAGCAAAATCAGAACTATTGTGCATTACTGCTGAGAATATAAAATAATGTAGCTGCTTTAGAAAACATTTTGGCAGTTTTTCAAAATGTTGAACATAGCAATTTTACCCCTGGTATGTACCCAAGAGAATTGTAAACATATATCCCCAAAAAACCTTATATACAAATGTCCATAGCACCATTATTCATAACAGCCAAACGGTAGAAACAACCCAAATGTCCATCAACTGATGGATAAGTAAACAAAATATGTAGTATTATTAGGCAATAAAAATTAATGAAGTGCTGATATTTGCTCAGTGTGGGTGAATTTTGAAAACATTACGCAAAGCTAAGGAAACAAGTCACGAAGGACAAGATATTCTACAATTCTATTTATATTAAGTGTACAGAATACACACATATATATAGAGACAGAAAGAAGATTAACGCTTGCCTGGGGCTAGGGAAGGGGGAGAGGGAAGGAATGTGTTTGTATGTGTCTGTGTTGTTTGATATGTATCCAATTTAATATTACGGCATATTGATAACCACCTTAGCTGTCACTATTTAATACTCCTGAATGGAGGGCAATGCAGTATCTGCTATATACTAAGAGCTTGTTTGGTTGGTTTATTGGCTGGTTGTCTTTAAACCTAAATGTGTCAATGTCTCTCAGTTTTCTCTTCTATTCTCTTGGTTACTTTTCTCTACCTATGCCAGTCCTACACTGTTTTAATTTCTCTGCCTTTATAATTATTCTAACATCTCAAGGCAAGCCATCTTAGCTTTTTATATTTCTTCGTATATCTTGACTTGGCCTTCTGTTCTTCCAAATGAATTTAAGAACCAGATTTATAAATTAATTCATACATTAATTTTCATTGAGTTGATGTCCATGTAATACTGAGTTATTCTGTGATCTAAAGGGTGTGAAGTAGTATCATGTAGTTTTGATTTGCACTTACCTGATGACTAATGATGAGCATATGTTCACGTGCTTATTGGCCATTTCTATATCTTCTTTGGAGAAATGTCTATTTAAATCCCTTACCAAGTTTTTAATTGGGTTGCCTTTAAATTATTGAGTTGTAATAGTTCCTTATATACTCTGGATACAGGTTTATTGCCTAATTCATGTTTTGCAAATATTTTCTCCCATTTTGTAGATTATTTCCTCACTTTCCTGATGACCTCTTTTGAAGCACAACGTTTGATTTTAATGAAGTTCAATATATTTATTTTTTTCTTTTGTGCTTGTGTTTTAGGCATCATATCTAAGAAAACATTCCCCAATTCAAAGTCCTGACTTACTCCTTTGTTTTCTTCTAAGAGCTTTATAGCTCTTGCTCTTAAATTTGGGTCTATAATCCATTTTCAGTTAATTTTTGTGTATGGCATGAAAAATTGTTCCAATTTAATTCTTTAGCATGTCTAGTTGTCTCAGCATCACTGTTGAAAAGTTG